GTGTCGGAGTGTCGTGTCGTATCGTGTCACGTATCACGTGTCGGTATCGGTGCTATATAGGCCATATATACGTAAAAGTATTAAATGTTGAGAATCATAACCATACAAAAGATGAAAGCATTAATTATGAGAAATCATAACCATACACTTGTCGTTGCTGTACGTAAAGCGGTTGCAAAAATGATTTTAATATATATATATATATATATATATATATATATATATGGGGTAGGATATTGTTACACTGGTGTAAGAGTTAGAAGTCTTACACTCAAACTTGAACATTGATCCACTTGTATCCAAAGGCTGACATTACTAAAAAATTTGAGCCCTTAGATATAAGTGGGATCAACGGACAAGATTGAAAGTGTGATTTACACTGGTGTAAAATATCCTGACCCTATATATATATATATATGTGTGTGTGTGTGTGTGTGTGTGTGTGTGTGTGTATGGGCAGGATCATCTTACACCGGTGTAAGAATAAGAATTCTTACACCAAATCTTAACCATTGGTTTTCTGCATCTAACGTTTAATATTTATTAGGTCTCACTCATTAATTAATTTTTAATTCCCAATAAATCTCAACTGTTAGATGCACGGAAATCAACGGTTAAGATTTGGTGTAAGAATTCTTATTCCTACACCGGTGTAAGTTGATCCTATCCCAAATATATATATACACACACATAAGATAAGATCTTTTGACATCGGTGTCAAACTTTGAAATTTGACATCAAATCTTAACCGTTGATTTTCGCCAATCAGCGGCTGTCATTTTCACTTATCAAACTTATTAATTAATTATGAATTCCTAATAAATGATAACCGTTGATTGACGGAAATCAACGATTAGGATTTGGTGTCAAATTTTAAAATTTGATACCGATGTCAAATGATCCTTCCATAATATATATAAGAGAGATGATCCTTTGACACCAATGTCAAATTTGAAATTTGACACCTCATATGAGAGCCATTAGATCAAAAAAGATCAACGACTCTGATTTGCAAGCATGTGACACCATTGATTTTTTTTTTATCCAACGATTCTCAGATGAGGTGTCAAACTTCAAATTTGACATTGGTGTCAAAGGATCATCTCTCATATATATATATATATATATATATATATATATATATATATATATTATGGAAGGATCATTTGACATCGGTATCAAATTTTAAAATTTGACACCAAATCCTAACCGTTGATTTCCGTCAATCAACGGTTATCATTTATTAGGAATTCATAATTAATTAATAAGTTTGATAAGTGAAAATGACAGCCGCTGATTGGCGAAAATCAACGGTTAGGATTTGATGTCAAATTTCAAAGTTTGACACCGATGTCAAAAGATCTTATCTCATGTGTGTATATATATATATATATATTTGGGATAGGATCAACTTACATCGGTGTAAGAATAAGAATTCTTACACCAAATCTTAACCGTTGATCTCACAGTGTCAAATTTGAAGTTTGACACCTCATCTGAGAATCGTTGGATAAAAAAAAATCAATGGTGTCACATGCTTGCAAATCAGAGTCGTTGATCTTTTTTGATCTATTGGCTCTCATATGAGGTGTCAAATTTCAAATTTGACACTTGTGTCAAAGGATACTACCTATATATATATATAAAAAAAATATTTTTGCAGTTACTGCATCTGCATTTCTTCCCAAAACAACGTCGTTTTAGGATTGAAATATTAAAAAATTTAATTATAAAGACTATAATAACCCTGAAATAAATTAAAATTACAAAAATACCATGATTTTTGCTCAAAACGACATCGTATTGGGCTTACTGCAGATAACTTATCTGCAGTAAGTGTATAAAAGCGAACCCTATATATATATATATATATATATATATATAAGTATTTCCACAACCACTTTAGTTGATATTTTTTACAACTATCCATTTTTAACTAAACCTGACCATTAAGACATAGTTATAACAATAAAGCTATTCTTCTTTTATCTCCTCAGACATTGTCAACTCACGTGGCGGAGAGAGAAAATATAATTTTTATGTCTTATTGGTTAAACATAGTTAAAAAGGGTAGTCGTACACAACTTTATCTAAAATGGCTGTAGGAATGTATAACATATATATATATATATATATATTAACATTTCCTCTTTAACTTAAGATAAAGTTATTTCCTGTAATACCAAAATAATATTGTTTTGAGATTTGAGGAGAAAAATACTATACAAATTGATAGGTACAAATTACTGATTTACTAATGGAAAACTACTAAAGTTTTACGGTTTTAGGAGTTTGGTCGACTTAATAAGTTCACAAATAATTTAAAAAGTAAAAAAATAACTAAATATTAGCCTCTTATTAATTGGAAGGTCAATAAAAAGGGAGAAATCGCCTTTTGGCGAGTTAATTTTTATTTTTTAAATAAATTAATAAAATGATACAAATAATAATATATGAGAAAAATGTTTGTACGAAATTAATATTTTTTATTTAAAATTTAAATTAAAAAAAACTCACTTTTTTTGTCCATTTGTCTCACTTAAAAAAAACATAATTTTATGTCCTTTGATGGACAAACACTAAATCCACAATTTATTCATCGGGTTGTTTGTTTCCGCCTCATTTGAAAACTGTCGGTATGTATAAGACACATTCTCGGGAGATCTAGGAACATGTCACGCGAATTTAGGTATTTTGCAATGTTTTGCCACATGGAGTTACGCCCTCTACTTACAAATGTTGCAATTTTATTTTATATTTTTTCCAACATGTCCTCCATGACCTGTCCCCTCTCCTCATGCATGCATCTGTATTTTACATTCCATGCATGATTTCCCCATGCATGATTTGTCCCTTCTGCCTGTTACTATCCAATTGTAAAGTATGAGATTTGAGTCATTATATAAATGATTAATGTAAGACTTTTATAGACTTTGGATTAGTTTTTGGGGTGAGATTCTCTTAAGATTTGTATCAATTGATATTAGTGCGGTATAGGTGGTAACACTGGCATTGTAGTAGCCGTCCAAAGCTAGTAAAAGACTAGCGCAAAGCTAGCCTGCGTGGACGCCGGGACTGCGGAGCTAATATTATGATCTAAATTGTAAGGTATGAGACTTGAGTCTCACATTGATTACATGTGTGACTAATGTGAGGTTTATATGGACTTTGAGCTCTTCTGTCTCTTGAACTAGTTTTTGGGGTGAGATTTTCCCAGGATTAAAGCAAATCAATTTTATATTTTATTGGTTGATATGAGACACGATACAAATTTTTTCATGTTAATTTTTGGTAAGACACAAAATTTTCATGTTGTATTAGTATTGAAAATTGTCACCCTAATTAACAGGCTACTAACCATTACAGATAACAAACTTGCAATTGCCCAATTAGAGATTCAGTTATGAGCCAAACCATTTTCTATTATACAGTAAGAGATTTTTTTTTGTGTGTGGATAGATTATATACTAAGAGTTTAATCTTGTATGTATAGCTCTTCGTTCTTTTCTTTTCTCGGGTTATTCTGACACCTATATATTCAGGTGTTTAAGTTATAATTTGTAACTATTTATTGATAATGTGATATTCAGTGTCAATGGATCTTGAATCTTTTGCAAAAAACCAACCGAACACTTTCTAGAATAATTTCAAACCAAAAGTTTAAGTTATTAGGTGAGGTTACGAGAGCTTAATGGACTTAAAGGATGGACAGTATATCAAAATCCAATCTATTTGTGTTAAGAAACTTCATAATATTTAATTTTTTTTATTAATAGTATGAGGCAGTGAATATTGAACTTGTGATTACCTAAGTCCTAATCACGTTAATTCTGATATGTAAAAAATCATTTTAAACCAAAAAATTAAATTATTGGATGAAGTCTATATTATTGAACGAAGCTATATTAATAATTTTATATTTCTCTAATATTCATGGTGGGGTGTCTCGGTATCCAATGGCTGCTTGATATAGGTGTTGTGTACCATATTTCCCTCTCAATTTTCTTCTCTCCATAAAATCGACTCCATTTCACAAATGGATCACCTACCACTGTTTTGTACTCAGGAACAGTTCACATTTTACCGACACTCAATTTGTTTAATGTGCTTTACATACCAGAATTTTGTGTGAATCTGGTCTCAGTTACAAAATCGCTTGATTCCACCTCTTCCTTTCTGACATTCTATAAATCGTTCTATTCCATGCAAAGGAGATGATTGGTATAATTGAGCAAATGAATGGATTATATACGATTGTCAACAAAGGAACCAAGGCCTGAACAATTATGGTGCTTTGTTGTTACACACATTGTACACCTTATTAATCAACCTTGTACACCACTTCTTGCCAACAACGAGGTGCTGAATGGAACACCTCCACTATTAATACATCTGAGAGTATTTGGATGCTTAAGTTACGCATCAACTCTCAAATCACAATGTACAAAGTTCTCAGCAAGAGCACGAAAAGCCATGTTCCTAGGATATCGTGAAGGCACCAAAGGATATTTGCTCCATGATCTAGCATCCACAGAGCTATTTGTATCTATGAGGAGCAATGTTATATTTCATGAAGAGCATTTTCCTTTCAACAATAATGCCACATTATGTATCTATGAACAAATAATATCATTTTAGGGTGTATTAATAGAGTGCAAATGTGCAATCAACGATTTGGTTAATTGTTGATTTACCTATAAATTTAAGCATCTTCTATGAAATATTAGTACCTTTATGGAGTGTGTGATTTAGGCATATAAGGTTCAACTCTTTGCTTATGCATATTGGGGGTCTTATAAAATTATTGTCAATACAGCAAATCACTGATTTTCTTAACAAGCAGCAATCAGCAAATTTAAGAGAACGAGAGAAAGCGTCACTGTAACATACTGTATTATTAAGTTTGGAGTATACATAATGATAACGCATCATGGTCATAAGGCAACCTAGTGACCATGTAAATAAACATACAATGTAGTAGCTAGATCAAACTATGTTACATACATATATATATATATATATATATATATATATAATGCAAACATGACAAGATAAAGTTCTGAAGCAGGTGCTATATAGTAATTATTCAAAGATGGTATAGATGAGTGGAATTCAAGTGCTTCTATTTGGTAACCCAAACAACGTGATCCTGAGGGAGGAAGTGGCAAACAGGAACAGTTCCTGGTTGAACTTTGAGAACTTGAAAAGCCAAATGCTTTGGGTTCCATTGTGATGTGTCAGTGTGGCACACTGCCACTGCTTTGATTCTGCTTCCATCAGCACCCTCCAATGGCACAGAGTAAGCTCTTGTTGTATCTGTTTTGTGACAGTAAAACACTGCATATGGGTAGTTCTGCTTGTGGCACACTACACCCTTGTCCTCTCCCCCAATCTTCTTCACTCCTTTTGCTATGCTGTATTGTTGTAACTCAGTTTCTTTGTTCACTTCTGTTGAAACAGCCTCAACATTATTCCCAAGCTTGGAAGTGCTGAAATCAACCATGGACTCCAATGAAGTTACACAAAGCTTTTCCTCTCCTCTAATGGCAGGCTCTTCACACTCACTGATGGTATTCTTCATAATTTCAGCTTCCTCTGACTCTGGCTTGACAGAAAACTTGTTCAAGATGTCATCCACCTTGTTTGATGAAAAGGGTATGGAATCAGCAACTTGGCGAGGCAAGAATGTGGCTGCATTAGAAGTCTTAGTGAAGTGCAAGTTAAATTTGGAACCATGATGCAAGTCCTTTTCCAAGAAGAAAAGTGCTACATTGGGGTTATCGTGTAATTGGGTCTCAGTGGCAGCATAATTGTAATCAAATGGTGATTTTCCCACTGCAACATGTACTGGTTTTCCCTTTCCTTTACCAGCATGAACATTAACTCCACCTTTACCAACGTTGACTGATGTGCCTCCAGGTTTTCCTTTACCAGCATGAACATTAACTCCACCTTTCCCTACGTTCACTGATGTTCCTGCTGGTTTTCCTTTTCCTGCATTTACATTTACTCCTCCTTTTCCTACATCGACTGAGGTGCCACCAGGCTTTGTTTTCCCTGCATCAACATTTACGCCACCCTTCCCTACAGCCACAGATGTGCTTTTGTCTTCTACCCAATCTGCAAATTTAGCTACTTCATATCAGTTCATGACAATCACTTCTAAGTTATAAACTATTTATATGATAAAACATTTGCGTTCATCATTTAACATGACCACACAAAGTTTCTTACATACACAATATTTTGTGGGACCTGCATGTTTTGAAGAAAAAAAAAAACTACAACACGTAAAACGAAATTTTATAACATAACACAATCATTTTTCCTATAACATAACTCTTATAAAACCCTGAAAAAATTAGAGATGGCACTCATAACTAGATGTAAAGTGCACCCTACCCTTAGTAGGCTAGACTGCATTGTTGATAATCGTTGATTAAAACATCAGTTGTTTAGATTTTAATCAAATACAAGTACAAAAAATAACACGTTTCTAAAAGATTATTCTCAATGTCTAATGATTTTTCATTAATAGTTATTAATTGCCATTTTGCATTGGGGTTGGAGTATGGAATTGGAAGTGCATGATTTGGGTATACTAGAGGATTGTTTGAGCTTGGTTGATATGTTGATCCATCTTGGCCATGGCCCCATCCAAGCTTACTATATAAGGCATCACTTCTTTTCTAAAGTGCACTTTGCACTCAAAATTTTTTTTTTTTAATACCAACTAATTTCAAAGTTTTAACGGATTCGAATAATCCGATTTCAGGTCTGAGTCTCTTCACTCTTTTTAGGAGTTACAATTTTTAAGAATCGAACCTATTATACTTTGAACATCTAGCTGAGTGATCACTAAACTAATAATAACTATGAGACTTTGACATAGTGAAGATGCCATGTTTTTCTCATAATGACCTTCCAAATGACTATTTTCATGATGTTAGGACTCGGATGCAAACAAAGTGTAAAAATATTGCATGGGAATGAAATTCTAGAAGAGGTTTGAACTTGAACTACTATGTACTAACCAGGGTACAAGAGATCTGTAATAGCTTTTGGCATTGGAGTAGTGGGAAGCTTGGACTTCCAGTAAAATTCAGGAGGTAAGGCAGCATGGGTTGCCACAAGTGCAAGCTGCAATTCAAATACAGAACTTTCATTAGCATAAAGTCTCAAAACATTATTGAATATATATTTTCGAAATAAGTATTAGAATATATCGAGCTTTAGCGGGAAAAATCAAAAAAATAATAAGCTATATAGTTTAGAAATTGAAGCTCACACTGAGTAAAGTAAAGATGGGTAGGAGAGGAAACTCCATTAATTAGTTGTAAACAAAAAAAATGCTTGGTGAAGATAGAATGAGAGAATTAGAGAAACTGAAAGTGAGACTGAGAAGGAATGAAGATCCCAATAAAGTGACCTCACATAGCATTTATATGGCCCATATATCATTATAATATTATTAGGGAAAGGTTTCTAGATAATGTCGGTTGCATGCATAAATGGCAACTTACCAACAAATTTATCATACATTTTAATAAACTTCAACTGCCACTAGTTCCCTTACTTAATCGCCATTACTGTCTTTGGACAGTTTGGTAGAGAGTAAGAGAGATAAACTGTGGTGAGAGTGACTAATGTAAGCTATTTAATTTATTTTATGTTTTTCATTACTACTTAATATATTTTATTAATAATTATAAAAATAAGATATCATTTTGTAATTATTAATAAAAAATATAAAAAAGGGGGTTTATATTATTTATGCAATATAAAAAGAGAATTTTTGCAACATACACATACTCAAATAGGTCTAGTTGAAAAAAGGTAAGTAAAAAAAATTAAAAAAATTAGCACATAAAATAATATGAATGTAATATGAAGAGACTCTTCTTATATTTTATAAAAAGTATAAACCCAAAAAAAAAAAAAAAAAAAAATTCCTTTTTCTCAAGTCGAAATTGGGCATGTGTTGATTGGATGGAGCCTGGGAGATACACATTTCGATCCAATTTATCACTACATTTGAATTCGTACACACATAGACACTTACGTGTCTACATTTGTATATTTGATGTGATACTATCACGTCGAATTTATTAAAGCATGGCTTAAATTGTATTTGACTTTATAGGATTCTGTGCACCAAATAACAAACAACTACTCAAAATTTATTACGGGCATAGTAACAGTTGTGAGTCATTTTCACAGGTAATTGATAATGTGATTTAAATATTAAATAGTTATACAAGAGTTGTTAATCTAACGATGATCAGAATTTTTGATTTAATGGATTCAAATTCTGAGAGGCTCAATTCGTGGGATGGAGAGGCATAAATTCAAAATAAAATTAATCGGGTTCATTAGGATTTTGGACGCAGTTGATATAAAAAAAAATTAAGTGATTGAGTTTTTTTAAATCATTAAATATGCATACATTCCAAATCACACATTATTAATTTTTTTTTTTTGGTATCATAAATGCACTTAATAAAAGAGAGCTACTATAAATCTGAATTAAATTTAAAATTCCTTATTCACCATGCATTTAACATCATATAATAATGGTTGGTTGCTACCAAATTGATCTAATTATGATATCCATAATATTATATTGAGAAAAGTTCATCAATGCCCTGTAATTTGCTTCAAAATTATCTATGTCTCTGTGATTTTTTTTTATCACATATGCTCCTGTGCTTTGTAAAAAATAAGAAACCACAGGGACATATACGATAAAAAATATACCTTTTACAAACCACAAAGATATATGTGAATAAGAAAAAAATTACAGAGACATAAATGATTCTGAAATAAACTACAGGAGTATTAGAAAGAAAAACAATCAATAAAGGTAGAAAAATGCATATCATATAGTAAGATAGTCAACAGAGAAAGTATTAAAAAAACAGAATTGTGGAAGAAAACATAGAAACTAGAAAGGTGAATAAGAATATAAAATATATTTAGAATAAAAAAGCATTACTGCAAATCAATTGTAGAACTTGTTGATATATATATATATATATATATATATATATATATATATATGAACAAGAGTTGAATGAGAATCAAGGGTTAATTTAATTTTTTTTGATAAATCATATGTATTATCTACTAGAGACAAATATATTACTTTTGCATTTAATATCAAGGGAAGGGAATGTTCATATTATAGTGAGACTAGCTCTGTTAATTTTTTTTTTTTTTTTTTGCATTCGCAAGAATTTAAACATAAAATATTACTTAAGCGGAATAAATATGTACCACTTGAATCAACCCTATTTAATATCAAGCTAAGGGTTAACCTATCACATGCAATGAATTAGAATAAAAGTGGTACCCGTTGCCCCATTAAAATGATGAATACTTAATTATTATTTTTCTGGTATGATATGTCACCCTTTTTTTATCTCGTGATATATTTTCTGGTACGATATTTTACTTTTAAAATATTGGGTAGCTAAGTAAAACCATCATTAATTTGAATGACCCTTAATGGTGATCTACATAAAGACTATACAATATATAACGAGATCTCATTTGCTAATTTATGCAGGACAATTATAACTATATATGGATGAATTAATAGTAATAAAAGAGGAGAAAGAAAAAATATAAGGATAGAAAATTACACAATCATCATCATTGATTTAATTATTAATGATTAAGATCCTCTCACATGACATGATCATATTAAATTACATATGAGATGATCCATTTTCATAAATAATAGCCTAATTAAACATATTTTTCTCATAAAAACTAGGATATAGTATTACCATATATAGTTCAAAATAATTTGATTAGTTTTGCAGAATTAGTTATTGTTTATTTTAGACAATTTATCAATTAAAAATTGCAGGAAATATAGACGTAGGCCGAAAATTTCAGCACTCCATATACATTGCAATAGACTCTTGGGAACCACCTTCATGGAACCTAGCATAAATGCTAAATGCGTCATGGGTGACATAATTTGAAGCGATGAATTCAAAGGAATGAATCCATAATTTAAAGGGATGAATTCAAAGGAATGAACCTATAGTATTTAATGTGGGGATAGAATGAAATAAAATAAAATGAACTAAAAATGTTTTATTTTTTTTCCTCATGAATTTTATTATTTTTAATAAAACTAAAATATATCACTTTTTTAATCTTATATCTATCATGTTCTGTTCTATTTTGAAAATACACAAAATATTTACTAAAACCTCCTGTTGTAATACATCCACTAAACCCACTTTTACTGTTTGATGGTAGTTAGTGGAAAATAAGTCTGAAGTTGAATGGACGTGACAAGACAAGAAAGTGCATGGCCATAAGTATTGTAGTGGTCAATTGTAATGGGAACATGACGGAAGAGGTGGCACATGCTATCAATCTCAATGGCGGAGCCATATGTTATATCGACGCGATATGAGATATAATATGATTTGATATTTTGACACATTAATTTTAAAAATATAAAATTTAAAAATATTAGAACACGTTTTAATATTAAATAATATTTTTAATTTATGTAGCATATATTATAATTAAACTAAACTTATAATACCGATCAATTTTGCAAAGAAACATAAGTAAATATTTACTATTATATTTTCAAATTGAAAATATTTTATACATTTCAGTGAGATTTATTCGGTATTCATTTTTAATTTTTATTATATCAGTTTGGTAAAACATTGATCAATTTTTTCATGACATGTAATAAAATTTTAAATATTAATGATATCGGAGCATGTCAGAGTGTTGGGAAGTGTCGGACAGAAAATTTCAGGGATTTTGAAGTGTCGCTGCAACATAGGCGGAGTCGGACTCCGAACCCAGCTAGGGCCAAAGAAAATTTAATTGGTGCCAAACACTAAAACGTGGAAGGTTATTTAGCCACGTTTAAAACGTGCCTAATTTTTGAAAATAAGCTGGGCCAAGGCACCCTCTCCACCCAACGTGGCTCTGCCAACCCGTCGTGTTTTTGAAAGTGAATTAAAAAACTTGGTCGTCCCGTCCCACTTGGCGAGCGGGGCGGGTCAATTCTTCATGCCAGACTCATTTTGCATTAAAAATAAAATAAAAAAATGGGCTAGGTGCGTTGGCGGTCTAGGCAGGACACGTTAGCAGGTTGTAAAACTCAGCTCGTCTCGTCTCGTTTGACGGGTATGATGGGCCGAGTTTTGCCTGTTAGGACTCACGGTGCACACAAAGTGAAAAGAGAGGTCGAAGCCCAAATTTCGTTTTCCATTAGTATCAAGCCCACGAATAAAATACATATATGGGTAAAATAATGGAACGGTGTTGGGCCATGGGCTGACAGATAAAAAGTTCAACAAAACGATAAGTTAAAAAAAAAAAAAACTATAGCCGTGGGCAAGAGTCACAATTTAGATTAAATAACATTAAAATAAATAAATCCTCTTAAGCCATGGTTTTATCTACGATTTTTACTAAAATAATATTGCAATAAAATAAAATAAAAAAATAGCACTAAGTGATGATTTCTCAGTCACGACTTCCAACAAATATTTATACTTTTGGCACCATTTCGAGAAATCATGTTGTTCTTGTGTAAATTGGTAATATAAACATGAATTTGCACCTGATGACTAAAACAAGTAGCATTCTTTTGTTAATAATTTTGTACAATAAGAGTTTAAGTATTTTATGGTACCCTAGTGGTTATTGCTCAGTGAATAAGATTATTAAGTATTAAATTAAGAAATTTGGGTAATGAAGAAACCTCTAAGTAGTTTTGATTCAAGCAAGACATCAATATGTTGGGCTGGTCCTTAAATGAGACAGTCTACTGAGTATTGGGCCTGAGTCAATGAGAACCCCATTTAATATGGACCCACCACTAAGCAAAGTGTCACTCCCAAGCAAGACATAACATATCCACCCTTTTTCTTTCTCCTTTTTCGTTGGCAAATGACATGGAAAATCAAGAGTTGATTTTGATTAAAATTCCAAATGTGTGAGAAAGGTAATATTGAGTTTTATGAGACGAGACCGTCACAGAAAGACCAAACAAGTTCTAGATGGGTGTTGTGGTTTACCCATATAAAACCCACCCCACATGTTTTCAAGCCATGAGTGGCGCAATTTAGGAGGGAATGTATATAAATATAAATATATATATATATATATATATATATATATATATATATATATATATATATATAGGTAGGATCCTTTGACACCGGTGTCAAGTTTAAAGTTTGACATCTCATCTGAGAGTCGTTGGATAAAAAAAGATCAATGGTGTCACATGCTTACAAATCAGGATCGTTGATCTTTTTTGATCCAATGGCTCTCAGATGAGGTGTCAAATTTTAAACTTGACACCGGTGTCAAAGGATCCTACCTCATATATATATATATATATATATATATATATATATATATGAGGTAGGATCCTTTGACACGTCAAATTTG